AAAGACACTTAAAAATTGTGACTAGAAAAAGTTTTAAATTGCTTCGCATAATCAATTATTTAACCTTTCTGCACTATTAAAAAGTGATTTTTCTGGCATTGAAAATTTAATAAGCAAGAAAATTATTTTAAAGTCTTAAACTTTTTCTGATTTTAAGCAAATAGGCCAAATTTGTCTTGAATATTTAGAAAAGAACATCAAAAGCGGGGTATATGATGTAAATTTTCAGATATTACTTAAAATGTGTCAATTTTACGTTAAAATTGGCTCAATTTTTTCCCGGATTTTCAGAATATATTTACTATATTTGTCACACTTTGTTGATAGAATTCATAAGAAATAATTTAATAGATATTTCAGAACCAGCATAACACATTTAACTGCAAAAAAACAGCTTTTTGTGCAACCAGGATGGAAAAATAGGAATCCAAAATTAACAGCACTGTTATAGTTCAAAATGAAAAAAACTGATCATTTTCGTCTAAAAACCCTTCCGCCACAAAATATGGTCCCTATCTTAATTCTACTTGAATGGAACTTAATCGCTGTTTTTTTTCATTGAATATAGTTAAATTTGCACTGTAGAATTCTGATTTAATTTTAGAACTTAAAAATGATGCAGAATTTTATAAATAAATGACCTGACGAAATTCCGCTCAGAATCTCAGGATCGAACGTCCTTATATAATGTTCGTTATCTCTGTATATTTCATATTCCCAGGGTGGATTTATCTGATGAATATCTGGTATGTGAAAGCTTTCACATATTTTTATCGTCCCAGTGGTTTTCAATATTTTTAAAGAACTCGTCCTATTTTTTTAAATTTTGCTTTAAAAATGGGCATATGGATGTATGAATCCCTTCACGAATGGAATATTTGCAATACCTTTGATTGCAATTGACTTGGTAGTTCAAAATAAACACATGCAAAAATGAGACCGCGCAAAAAAAGGAACAACAAATTTTGATCAGGTCACTTGAGCCATTGGCACAGAGAAGGTAAAGGATAAAATTATAGCAGATTGACAGTATAATACAAGCCACAGAAGTATGTGACGTAAATGAAAAAAAGAAGAGAAAAATATCCAACATGTTATTCTTGTTTATCTATTTGTTTGTAAACATCTGCTTCATATTGATTGAAGAATCTCCCAGTAATGATTGTTTTGTGAAATATTCTATCAATTCTCGTAAAATATATTTTGTGAAAAGCCAAGATACATGTAGGTATACAATACAAATATTGCTTAATGCTGTAAGATCAATTACCACTCGATAAGATATTCACCCAACTCAGGCTTTTTATCAGGACTAATTCTATACTAAAACGTGTTTATTTCTAGGAAATAGTTTGGGATCAACATAAAAAATAAATCTGAAGAAAGCTCTAACAAGTTAGTTCAAAATTTCTCAATCTAATTTGTAACTTAATTTATGTAAATGTAATGAATTTCTGTAATAGATCTAGAACATTTCGAATGTTAAATGTGTGAAAATCAGAGTAAGCATACTTGTCTCATTATACTCGTACAAGTTAATGATACTTGTTTAATTTCAAAATCTGATGAAGAGTGTCCAATTACATGAGGAGAAAGAATTGACAAATGTAAAAACATATATTAACAAAATGAAAATTATCTCCTCTTCAAAATAGAATATTTGTGAACTGATTACTTATATATTCACTGTGTTATTTAGTCAAAATAAAATCTTACATTATTGATCTCTTAATGAAAATTAAAAGAAAACAATGCACACAGTGATCTTGCACTCCGTCATTAGAAGGCTGTTTGATAAATGAAATGTACATGTGGAAATAACGATTGATACATGAAATGTACACGTGTAATTGACAGTTGACCTATGAAATGAACACGTGTAATTGACAGTTGAATCAGCATGTCATCTCTCAGTCACCTTCAGACACATCGTTTCCGGTTTAGTAAGGCCTCTATTTGTAAGCTTAGGTGGTATCTACAATGCAACCAAAATATTTTTAAAATATAAAATTTTAATATAAATATTTTTACATTAAACAAATGATTATCAAATAAAATCAAACGAATTGTAAGGAGATAACGAATTGTATTAAAGATCGGAAGTCCACCCAAGCAATACGAGTCCGAAGCAGAGCAAAGAAGGACATCTAAAACATCAAAGGTGGAGTCAGGTGTCATGAACTAGTGAACATCCCCTGCAGATCGGTCTCACAAAATTCACTACATTGTCACGGACATAATGAAACGATCTACATGCATTGTCGTATTCAGAAAAAGGAAGAAAATATGAAGTACACGTAGGGTTCACAGAGCTTGGAACAACTTTATACCTCCTCCAGAATTTTCAGGGGTCTGTTTTTCATACCCCATTCGCATATATTTATTGTTTGGGTTTTTTTTTTTAGATTAAGCGTGCTCTTCATCAGTCTCATTGCCTAATAATACTCACATTTGTTTTGGAGCATGTTGATAATACAAACTGTCTGAGGAGTTTTGTCATCGCGACTTTGATCTCGATCAGAGCCAGTCTTTTTCCGATACAGATTCTGGGACCATAACCAAAAGGCATGAACTTATACGGATTCATCTTGGCTTTATTTTCCGCTGAAAATCTAAAATTTAGATATTACGATAAAGAATGAAATTGCTTCATTTACTTTATTTCCAGATGCCTTTCTTGTACATGTACATGTATATATATGCCATTTAGGTTTTGGTAAAGAATTCGAAGTATCAGTCATTTAACATTCCAGAAAAAATTAATATAAAAGAATGTATATAAGTAAATGTATGTATTTATCTGTCATATATATTTCGAATTTAAATTCATTGATTGAGGCTTTATTTTAACGTTTACAGTATAAATATTGGATATAAATGCACGCAATACATTTAAATGTTACTTAACTTTTCTATGTGTTCGCATGATTTTCTACATTTTTCATGAATTAACTTACGAGAAAGACAGGAAATGGATCCTCAAATAGATACAAATTTAAAAAAATAATGATTTTGAAAAAGGACGACTTTTTACAAACCTCTCTGGGTCGAATTTCTCAGGATCTTCCCAGAGTTTTTCAGAATGATGTAAAATCCAAATCGGTATTGCAATCTGCATGCCTTTTGGAATCTTCAGACCATTTACTTCAGTGTCCTGTACGCAGGTTCTATCAGTTCTGAAGAAAAAGAAATAAGTGGGCTTTATTATACATGTATAGCTAGCTTACATGAAATATTCTAAAGTTTAAAAAAAAAACATCTAAAAACCTTAAGAATTTTAATTTTCAGTATCTTGGCGTTTCATTGAGCATTGTTCAAATAATATATTAATTCAAGACTATATTGAGACTTTTGTCTACAGTCTTATTATCTTCACTATGGAACAACAAATTTTTTGGAAAAAAATATAAAAACACCGCAAAAGAAAGCTTACATACGTACATGTTACATATTTGATGTAATCTATTTCAGTGAACTATTTTAAAATATTTCCAGTCTATATTTAATTTCTGATTAAACTGTTGCGAAAAAAGCTTCTCTGTACGTTCCTTTAAATCCTTTTGCAAAATTTTCAATTAACATTTATTTCGACAAGTCATGCTCTGAATTCATTGCAAAAATTAAAAATATTATTCTTCACAAAAAATGATATTTCTTTTGCAAAATTCTTGTCATTTACAAAAAGTCAATTGTACGGAGAAGAAAGGAAGATATTTCCAAGGACCATGCGCAAAGTTCCTCAATGTCTCTTCAGATGCGCTTCATTTAGGAAAAAAGTCATGATAACATGATTCATATCAAAATCAAAAACAAACAAACAAAAACCTCAGATAATGAAACATATGGAGACAACGAACAGCACTCAAGATAAAGAGTCCATAAAACAATACAAAATTTGAGCAGAGCAAACACGGACTTCCAAAACATCAGAGGTGGGATCAGATGCCATGGAGGAGTGAGCATCCCCTGCCGACCGGTCACACCCGCCGTTTGCTCCTTTCATGATCAGGAAATAACGGGAAAATCCGTCGTCAATTCAGTGTTTAAATAATGGACTAATAATTAGTATGAAAAACGTAAGTCAGCAATTGCAATTGACTCAATGATAAATTTTATTTGTTGACAAGGTCATTGAATCGACCATGGAACTTACGAAATGATGACTTTTAATGAGACTGTTGACATTCTTGTTTCATCAACTTGTTTGTCAATAATTGCATATAATGACAAATTAAACATATCTGATTTCATACTTGTCTATCTACAAAGTTACAAAATCTATGAAGTCGCTGCTACCTTGCAGCTACAGGGTACATTCTCATTGTTTCATTGATGCACATCTCCATATACTGTAGCTTCCCGATGTTGTCATAACCCGGTTCTTCCTGCAAATAAAGGGTGCATGCGGTGACTAAATATCATGGATTAAGTTTTAGAAATATATTAAAATAGCAGAAAACTGAATGGCAAAATGCAACAATATTTCCTTCCGTATATACTAAATCAGAGGATGTAAAACAATAAGACACTATATGTTCCAAAAGTGGTGTAAATCAGTTGCAGGTACTCAGAAACAACAAAGACCTTTTAGTGGATGAAAAACTAGGAGTTTGATATCATAGACATTGCTTCATCATAAAAATGGAAATCGAAAATTTTTAAATCATTTGATAGGTCATCGACAAAATTACTTAGTCAATAGTCACTCTGATTCTACATAAAAGAACTCCGATGTTGATAGTTAAGAATGCTGGTCGCTCTTCCTTCTTGACAACATTTTTGTAGTCTTTCGAAATAAAGTATTGAGATAACAAACATGTCTAATCAGACAATACAAATCAGGAGCAGGGCAAACACTGACCGCTAAAACATTTGAAGTTGGATAAGTTGCCATGGCAAAAAGAGCATCCCCTGCCGACCGGTTACAACTGCCGCGTGCTCTTTGTCATAATCGTAAAATGTCAGAGAAATCCGTATTCAATTTTCTTCATTTTTCTTCGAGATATACATATATCTGTGAGAAAATCAAAAAAAGTTCAAAAAATATTTTTTCAAGATCCGCTTTTTTCACTTACATCACCCAGTTCTGAGACGATCTCGTTATACACCCGCTGCTGAATGTCTGGATGGAGAGCCAGCAGATACACAAAGAAAGAGAGCGTATTGGCCGTCGTCTCGTAGCCGGCAAAGAAGAAGAGAAGACAGTTAGCAATGATCTCAGTCGATGTCAATCCTGGAAGAAAAGGTTTCACCCTCGTAAATATACCACTCTTAATATTAAGGATAATAAAAAGTGCAATAAATTCAGGGAAGCTGTTTAATTATTTTAAATATTTAAAAGAGGAATATATACCGAATTATCGCCAAAATGAGATAGATTATCGAGTTAACTAAAATAAATACACTCAATTTGTGTTTTATATAATGACGGCGATCATCTTTTTTGTATTTCAAAAGAATAAACCCCCACACCACCCCACGCGATATTCAACCCCGAGGCTTATTAGACATTTTTATGTTCCCCAAACGAAGTTGGGGAACATATTGTTTTTACTCTGTTTCTTATTATTAAGGTCTTCCGTCTTCACGGAAGACCTTATAGTGATTCTATTGTTTCTTATTATTATTATTATTATTATTATTATTATTATTCTTTTTTTTTAGACAAAATTTTGTGCAGGCGATTTCTCGTAAACTATTCGGTGGATTTCAATGAAAATTTCAGGAATTATAGGTCCTTATATGAATTTTATATAAAATTCCGTTTGTTGGAAAATTCGATACCAGTGCCAAGTTATGGGCAATTTCCTGATTTTAAAATGCAATTTTGTCTTCGAGTGTTCTCGAAAACGGCTAAAGATATTAACTGGAGACTTGTTAGAGATGATAGACTATGAGTTATAGATGTGCAATTTTGACTTCGTTTGCGTCGTAAGTACTTCCGGTCGCTACAGGAAGTGAATTCAAAATGTACACTTTTTCAACTTTTTTTGTTTTTCAATATTTTTCTTTGATATAATTAATGGTAATTAAGACCCTACTGGAAAGGCCTAATATATAATTTATCTAAGAATTGATCAATGCACACACTAGATATTCGCATTTAAAAATCTGAAGCGTGTCCAAGATGGCGGCGGTCTCGGTAAACTCCGCCATTAAGCAAGTCGGGTTCTAGAAGGTCAGCTGAGCGTTTAGATGAACGAAACTTCTACCAACAAGATTTATGAAATGTAAAGGATTCTTTTGATTGCTACATCGCAATTACGTTGCATTGAGTATACTTTTAACATGAGGTTTCCTCAAACTTCTATTGAAATCGCTTTTTTCTGCATCTCAAAGTAGAATACAACATGACTACAAGTGGAAATACGATGACTTCAGTGTTTTATTTTGCACCAGGGAAAACTTATCCTAAACCATGGTTATAATACTTTTCAAGAAACTTGCCTGACTTAATATTCACTATGTTTCTGAAGTATGACTTGACTTCTGTTTATTTTTCTTTACGCAGGCTTGTGACATATTAAATGAATAAAAAGGCAAAAATAAGAAAAACATTTTTAAAAGATTGTTTATTAAAGGTTATATGAATATTCTTGTAATAAATGCAAGTTATTGACATAAATAGTATCAGATTCCTTGACCGTCGGAGGACGAGTGATTTTTTTTTTTCAGTGAAACATTCCAGTCTTTTCATGAACGTGTAACTCATCTCCACTTTGGGGGTAAACAGGATACAAAATTCGTGGAAAATCTTACCGAATTCACAGCTTTATTGTTACTTGGCCGTATACGAAATTATATTTGTATAATGTGATAAATATATTTCTAACGCTCGAAATTCTGGTTATAAGAACATACATTTCTAATTTTCATTGAAGCTATCACATCTATTAAATAAATCAAACATTTCAAAGGAATAGCGTTAAGAACTACTTGTGATGTTTGGCACGAAATAATGCATCATGACCCGACTTAGTAGTAGACAAATGGCGACAATAGTGCAGAAATATATAACATTGGCATGCCTGTATATGGAGTTGCATGGGATAAAAAGTTGAATACATATCGAAACCAGAAGTCTCTGTCGAGACTGAAGCTCTACTGGTACTTATTATATAGCAAAGGAAGAGAAAAGTACTTAAGCTGTTGAAACAGGAATTGAAACTTTACAACAGCAATAAATAGAATAATGATCCTTGATTAAGTCTCATTATGTTCTTAGTGTAGTCTACTTGCATGCCGCATTATATTATAATCAGACTAAAACTGTATTTGGGGTAGCATTTTGAGAGTATATAACAGAAATTTCTATTTTTAGTAACTGTGGAAACACCGTTCACTGAAGTGAAAAACCGATACATAGAATTATGTACCTTATTGTAGTCTACTTATGTGCCAAGTTATATTGAAATCACACCAAAACTGTAGGAGGTGTAGCATTTTAAAAGAATTTCACAGAAATTTCTATTTTTAGTAACGATGTCAACACCGTTCATCGAAATCAAAAACCGATACATAGAATTATGTATCTTAGTGTAGTCTACTTGTGTGCAAAGTTATATTGAAATCAGACCAACACTGTAGGAGAAGTAGCATTTTGAAAAATTTCAGAAAAAATTCTATTTTTAGTTACCACGGCAACACCATTCATTGAAGTGAAAAACCGATACATAAAATTATGTACCTTATTGTAGTCTACTTGTGTGCCAAGTTATATTGAAAAAAGACCAAAACTGTAGGAGGAGTAGCATTTTGAAAATATTTTACAGAAATTTCTATTTTTAGTAACCACTTCAACACCGTTCATCAAAATCAAAAACCGATACACAGAATTATGTACCTTATTGTAGTCTACTTGTGTGCCAAAACTGTAAGAGGAGTAGCATTTTGAAAATATTTTACAGAAATTCTTATTTTTAGTAACCATGTCAACACCGTTCATCAAAATCAAAAACAGATAAAAGAATTATGTATCTTGGTGTAGTCTACTTGTGTGCCAAGTTATATTGAAATCAGACCAAAACTGTAGGAGAAGTAGCATTTTGAAAAAAAAATCTTAAAAAATTCTATTTTTAGTAACCACGGCAACACCGTTCATCGAAATCAAAAACCCATATACAGAATTATGTATCTCAGTGTAGTCTACTTCTGTGCCAAGTTATACTGAAATAAGACCAAAACTGTAGGAGGAAGAGCATTTTGAAAGAATTTCACAGAAATTTCTATTTTTAGTAACCACGGCAACACCGTTCATCGAAATCAAAAACCGATACACAGAATTATGTATCTTAGTGTAGTCTACTTGTGTGCCCAGTTATATTGAAATCAGACCAAAACTGTAGGAGGAGTAGCATTTTGAAAAATTGTTTACAGACGGACAGACAGACAGACAGACAGACGGACGGACGAGGGACGCATTACTATCGCATAAGCTCTTCTGGTCTCTGACCAGTAGAGCTAAAAAGGAAAGAAAACTGTATCATATGTTCATCATTAATAGATTATCTATCCTAAAAATTACTGTTAAAATTCAAGTTACAAATTCCGATGTGATCATCTTGACAAAAGTTTGGCAAGCTGGCTGGCATTTTACAATTCCAAACTGAATTTTTAAACAAATGTAATGTATGTTGGAATAAAAAAAAGCAATCTCGCGATATTCGAATGTTAAATTTGAAGCGGGTTCCCAAAGGTGTAATCGGTACCGCAATGGATTTCCACGCTGGCTACCTGGATTCGATCCCCCGTGTGTCCGATTTTTAAAATCACTTCTTCAGTTTGATTTTACGTTGTTTTTTTCTGAATCGGACGGAAGACCTCTCGTTGCTCGCAACGAGTTTTTCGTTTGCTAGTTATTATTATTTTTCTTCTTCTTCCTGGGTACTTTTTTGTCCGGGAGTGATCTGTAAACTATACATCCGACTTCGTAAAACCTTTTTAGGGTGAGTAGGCATGTTATGTAGATTTGCGGAATGAAGGTCATTTTGCGCGCACGTGCTTGCAAGAGCGTGCACGTGCAACGCGTGAAATGACCAACTATAATAGATATAGCCATAGCTTTTCTTTGAATGAAATGCTTTGAAACTCATAATGTGATGATATATTAGTAGCATAAACAATATGTAATGGTCAAAATAGCAAGATCTCACGCGCGTGGACATGCGCTTTCTATGATTGGCTGAAACTAAAGTCTCAATATCTTTCTTGTTTTTTGACGAAATCCTTTGAAATTTTGAACATAGCCATGCATTAGTATATCCTACAACTTGATACATAGCAATTATCATGAAAACGCGTGGTAAGGTGCACTGTAATCTGATTGGCTTAAACTTTTGAAAAGCTATATATCCCTTGGTTTTCAACCAAACAGGATGGGATTTGGAACATAGATAGATATAATATAATTCTACAAGAAAGTATGGTCACCATGCACATGTATACACGTGCGTGTACGTGCACTGCAATATGATTGGCTGAAACTTTAAACAGCTATAACTCCCTTGGTTTTTAACCAAACGGGGTGGGATTTAGAACATAGATAGATGTAATGGACTTCTACAAGAAGGTATGGTCACCGTGCTCATGTATGCACGTGCGTGCACGTGAAATGAGTAAAATCAAAAATACACTTAAATGAGAGTATTTTTTAATAATTTTGGATTAAATACTTAAATAATTAGTGTATTAAAATATATAGATTGCGTAGACAAGATGATTTGGTCATTATGCACATGCATTCACATGCGCACGCGTGCAATGTTAAAATTTGAATAAACTTGGTACACTTCTGGGTAAACGTTGTTAAAATCTCAAATGCATAGAGTTTGTCTTATTTAATGAAGCTTACAAGGAATATGGCACCAAAAGGGAGTTGGGGAGCGTTTGGGGAACATCTGTAACGGTCCCCGTTACAATTAGCACTAGTTTTCAATTATATCTATGTGTGCGGAAATTTTATTCATCTTGAATACAAGTGGAAAAAATCGTAAAAACCCAAAATAATCGCTCAGCAAAAAAAAATACCCTACTATACATTAATTAAAAGATGCATCTTTGTTATCCAAGGGTGACGATCGACACCCTTGAATAGAAATCGAGATATTTATAAGAGAGATGTATAGTAGTAGGCTATTTTTTGTGGAGCAATTATTTTGGGGCTTTCACCCTTGTAAACATATCACTATAAATACAAAAAATAATAAAAAAATCCCATAAATTCAGACATTGAGG